GTCCGGCCGGACCCCCCCTTGCAGCTGCTGCTCCCCGTCCCCGCATCCCCACCTCCCGGGGGCTGGATGCTGGAGATGCCGCTTCTGGTTCTGGACCAGCTCCGTGTGCGGGGGTCTGATGAGGCTCATCATCATCATCATCATCATCATCGTCCTTACTGGTGACATGCAAGAGGGCTGCAGTGCAGTGCACACCTGTGTCACACCCGCAGCGGGGACAGTGCGGGGGTCTGGGTTTCCCTCTCTCCCCCGCAGCCTCCAGCATTTCGGGTCTGATTCGGAAGCTCTGTAGTGACAGATGCCCCTTTGCTCCGAGGATGTGTCCGATCCCTTTGGAGGACAGGCTTCGTGGTTCTCCGGGTCGTGGCTGAGTTTGCACCTGACGTGACTGTGATACCAGGGATCATTCCCTTTCTCAGCTAAGCTCCTGATGCTGCCAGTCGCCACAGAGGAGCGAGCCGCTGTGACAGTGCCATAAGCCAGGCCTTCCTCCTGCAGAGACTTTGCATTCGCTTTACCTTGGTTTGCCATTGTTTCAGCCCCTATGGGACCCGCCCTCGCGAGAGGCCGTGTGGGTCTGGTGCCATCAGTGCTGGGTCACAGCTAAACTACTGGGAACCCCCATCCTGTCACTCTCCTGTCCATTGCTCACAAGGTGCAAAGCTAAGCACGTGCACAGATGACCAACTATTTATAAACCTGGCCCTATGTTCTGTCAAAAAGCAGCATCCCCTGACAATGGCAACGTGTAGGAAGATCCCACGTGGAGCAGTGCCCCAGCGCTGCAGGTGCCTACCCACCACTTATCTGGACACACGTGAGCACCTGAGTTCAACCGTCCTGCAGAGAACAAGGCGGTTGTTAAACCACCAAGCAAAGCCTCTCCGTGCTTGCGTCGGTGTGTGTTTCCAAAGCTAGCGGTGAGCGGCTTAAAATTCACGCGCGCAGATTTATTTTATTTTAGAGCAGTACGATGTCTGTAGCCATCTGCCTGAGGCAAGGGATGGCAGGTTGTTAGAAGAGGCCACTCTGCTGCATCCGAAGTGAACTGGAGGCCAAAAGAGCTTGTGCTCTCTATGTGTCTTGTTTAATTAGTCTATAAGGTGCATATCTAGCCTGTCATCTGCAATCTAGTGGACCAGAGCTAAGGAATATGCATGGCCTGCCCTGCACTGAGGCTTTATTACTAGGCTGGTGTTAAAGGAGCCTGATTCCCTATGTGGTTTATTTTGATGCTTGAATGAACAAATATGTAGTTTATAAACACAAAGTCCTCCATTCTGGACTAATGAGTCCATGCTCCGGTGCTTACCACTTGCCCTCTCCCTGTATGCGCAGGTAACTTGGGCTAAATCGCTGGTTTGAGTTGCTCCCTCCGGCAAACAAAAGGTTTGATAATCAACATAATTTCTACACAAACGATCTCTAATGGAAAATTGTGATGTCTCTCAACGCTGAGTGCTGGGGGCTGAAATCCTTTAGTTCTTAGGTATTTGTTTTTAAATGGCAAAAAAAAAGATCTTTCCCCTGCAAATAACAGGCACCTTTTCTGAAAAAAATCCACTGTGTAGCTGACCTAGTTTTCTGTTGACAAGTTATGTCAGGAAGCTTTTTGCCTGCCCTGCCCTGCCCTGTCTGATTTACCTTCCAATTTTCATCTTCCAGTCCTCTTCACCTCTTCCCCATCCTCTTCTTTTTGTTCTCCCTCTGAAAGAGCTACTTTACCAGTGAGAGAAGATATACTTGGCTTCACTTGATTTAGGATTTCCATAATCTTATCCATTCAGAAAGAGAGGGGTAGGGAAGGGAAGCTGTATCTCTTTCCAAAAGGATTTGTTCAAGTCTGGACAGGGAGTTTCACATGTTAAAGAAGTGCCCATATCGGAAAGTTAATCATTCCCAACTGGGGTCCTCCGCGCTGCGAGTGGGAGAATTGCCGCGGCTGGCTCCTGGCTAAACTCTAAACCAAGAGCTGGCTGGCTAGCGACAAACTTTTTCTGAACATTTGTTGCTCTTGGCCAGCTGGACAGTCCCTGTGGACTTCCTCCGATCAGGATATCTGTTTCCCCAGATGACCAAGCTAGTGCTACCATGCGTATCAAGTGTCACATGGCAAGTATGAACAGTCACCCAATGATTGAAAAAAAAAAAAAGGTGGCATCGTATTGAGAGTACAAGCTGAAAAGCCTGCCCCTGACAATTATTAATGGCACACGGCATGACCTAACTTTCCTGTTCTTTTTCTGTGCCTTATACAAGGACCTCCTTTCAGGAAGAGCTGCAGGAGTCTCTGATTCCGGTTTTCTATTTCCATGAATGATTTTGGACTTTCCTTTCTCCTCCCACTGCTGCTAGTTTTATAACTTAGAGCATCTGACATCTCCCCTATCAATGATGCTCCGTCTGTGGATTGCATTCTCTCTTCCCTGCTCTTTGGGGAAACAGGTTTGCCTTATTCTTTTCCCTACCTTTGTAACATGCTCACAGCTGTGGTGTGCACATGCCCTGCCCAGCAGTCAGCATACTGCACTTGTATATCCCTTGAGTAAGGTGCAAAAGACTTATTTGCTAGCTCAGAACTGTATCTTTGTTTTTTTAAGAAACAGTTTATAATCCAAGTGAGTCAAATGTTTTTCATGTAGATCTTGGTTGATGTGAGAGGGCTGCAGTGGTATAACTCACCTCCACTTTTAAATCAATATAGTTAGACCAATGTGAGCCCCTGTGTTGAAACTCTTGCTTTAATACAAAGTTGATTTTTGCTTAATTCTGTTCTTAATCGCTGTAAGCAAAACCACAAAAAGACGGTCAGTCATAGGAGTGTCCACTTTGCCTTGTGTGGTTCCAGAGCATGGACTGATTCTCCTGAGGATGAGATCTCGAAGGTAGATAATGTGTCCTTTGAAATTCCACTATTCTGTGCCAAGATCCCTCAGATCTTCTTTTAGCAATCACTGGTCTGAGTGTCTTTAAAAATTCAAAAGCTTGAAAGGTACATGTAGCTGTTCCAGGCATTCAGATCTGGGTTAAACAGTATTAAATTGTCCAGCACGTGCAGAACTCAAGGCAGTGACTTCCTATGTACAAGGCATTTGGCAAAAGGTGTTGGAAAGAGCTTAAAACAAAATTTGAGCACCAGTGAACCGTGTGATCTGCCAGCCCAGGCATGGGGAAGGCTTTGTTTTGCTTCCATTTACTGCAGCTCATTTGGATCAGAGATTTTGGACCTTTGGGACAGGTCATGTCCAGTGAGGCTGCTTACAGTATGTGGGGAAAGACCCCAACTGCAACGCTTGGCTTACATTTCTGTTTCAAAGCAACGTTGCTGCTTTGGGATAGGCTCCTCGCTGCCCCAGACACTTGTGTCCAGTCTGCACTCTCCTCTGCTGTAAAGGATGCAAGGCGGTGGAAAATCAGGCCCTTTGTACAGAAAAAAGAGAAGAGACTGACACCATACAGTTGGGGTCGTCATAAAATAAAGGATCTATACCGTCGGCAAAACCAGAATATGCCTTCCAAGTGGAAGGAAAGAAACCCTCATCCTTCTCTCATCAGCTGGAGGTTTCTTTCACTGCACGTGTTGTCTTTCAGTTCATTGATCTGATTTCTCAGTGCTTTTGCTTGGCTGTTCTTTGTGGTTATCTCTGAATCCTCTGTCATTCTCTCTGCCTTCCTGCATGCTTAAGCCAAACCTTTCAAAATGCTTTATCCATTGAGGCAGCATCGTGGCCTGAATTGCATCAAGCTTTGTTTAAATCAACTGAGCCGAGAAGAGCCGGCCAGCAAAAATGGAAGACCATAAGGCTAAACCCGTAATAAGTCGAAGTTTATATCTGTTCATAAAGGGGTGAATTACTGTTTCCCTGGAGAGTATTCCAGCCAGATTCCAGGCTACCACCCTAAATTTCATCTGTATTTTCAGTTAAACATGAGACTCTTCAAACTCAGCTATGGTGGAGAGGGAGGGAGAAATAGTCTGTCTACTGTTGCTGTGTGCTGTTAAAGAGTACTGTGCTCCCTCTCAGAGACAGCTGCATTTTGGTGGCATGACCTCTGTATGCCCCAGTGTAAAAGTAAGTTGGAAGATAGCAGCAACAATAAAGCTTCTACAAATTGTATGGAATTATTATTTATTTAGCTGTGAGCTACAGGTGAGGAGCAGAGTATTGCCAATCACTATAAAATTAATTTTATTATATGAATATTACATCAACTGATCCACTTACGGTAAGCAGACTGCATCTTAAACCATCCAACTAATGATTTTTGGATATTTATTGCCCTCTCTTCCCCTCCCTGACATAATTCAAGTAGTTCATATCACTTGAATTCAACTATCTGACTGTAATGTCCTGTAAGACTTTATTAATTTAAATGAAGTTTCCATTTATACCCATGTTGATGAAAGTTGAAATGTAAATTAAGATTAGAAATTGCAGCAGTTTTAATCATCTTGATTTAATTTCCAGCTTGGGCTGATAAGAGAACTCTGATACTGGTTGTTCTGCGTGAATTTTTAAAAATAAGTGAACTCTCTCTTTTCCTTTATTTACAAAATAAAACCAAACCAAACCCCTCAGCTGTGAAAGATAGTCATGCACGAATCTGTAGGTCCAGTTGTTACGATGTGTGTGTGGGTGTATGAATGTAAGAAGCTATTTTTACAGAACATCTCAC